TGGGGGTGTTGGGGGAGGGGATGCAAAAATGTCCCTTCTAAGGTGTAACTAGGAAACGATAAAACGATACCCCTAATGATGATATTGTAGTTCAACTCATTCTAAGCTGTAGTGACTATGTTTGGGAGAAAAGCCAGCGCAATACTTTTTATCATGTCAAAATGTTCCCTTGTCATTCTGCAGGAGCGTGAGGCACAGCTGGAAACTGTAATGATCTGATTGGCAAATGCACTGAAATTGTCTCTAGGAAATTTAGGAGTACCTTATTGTATCCATATTGCATTTTTTTCCCTCCTGCAACTGTTGTGGCCTACATGGAAAGTCCGTGGGAAGGAAGTGAAAGAGTCCACTTAGCAAAGTCTCCAGTACCTAGTACTTAGCCAGGCTGGTTAATATTAGTATCTATAGGCTTGAAGTGTAAGTTGTCTTGAAGTGTGAGGCTCTCAGGAAAGGGGCATCAACATTATTAGCAGGCACGTGTTATAAATGCTCAACCTTGGGCCCCCAACACTGAAATAGAATCTCTGTGGGTACACATCAACAACATGTGTTTGAACAAAACCTATATGCAATTTTGAGGCACGATAAAGTCTACATTAATGCAACTACAAAGTGAGCTTATGTGGTTACGAATGTTCACAAGGATTACAAATATTCATAGCAGTATATATATATGTCTATCTAAAGATACATACATACCTCGTTTACATATGTATGTGTAAACATACATCTGAAATATGTATGATCATATATGTGGCACACAGGCAAAGCATCTATGGCACATAAAATACATAATATATACCATCTACATCACATAAAACACATACACACATGTAGCTTGCACATCCAACCTTGTCAATAGCCCATTTCATAAACTCTCTGGGAGGACTGGTTATAAAACATATCCTTCAATTGAGGAATTCTAATCACAATCCATCGTAATAATATATTATGAAACGCAGGTCTTTTCTGGGATCCCCAGTGATGTAGGGGTGACATTTTGCGCTGCTATTATCTTCAAGGTTGGCAGTTAGAAACCACCAGCAGCTCCACAGGAGAAAGATGAGGCTTTCTACTGCTGTAAAGAGTTACAGCCTAGGCATCCTGTTCTGTAGCATTGCTATAAGCTGGCATCAACTCGATGACAGTGCTTGACAGGTCTTTTATACAAATAGGATCGACCACAAGAAACTGCAGGCAACCAACTGGTTCTATATATACTACAATGGAAACAACTAGTTGCATTTGTTTTTATTGCATGAGCTGAAAAGACCTGTCTCGACATGACTTAACAGTGTGTGTATACTATCTAAAGGACAGGGTAAGAATCAACTGATTAACAATTAGAAAGTACGAATTAAGATGAATCCATAGAAATGTTTCAGTACAATTTTTAGATCGATTATTTGAGCATTATTTATATACTATCGTCCTCAGTCAAAAAAACAGAGTTTCTAAGAGACAGATATCAGTACCATGTTTCTAGTGTCCGTTCTGCATTTTCTTCCTATATAACCTGGCCCAAATAATCTAATACATTTGGGTCTCTTTACTCCTTCATAAGCTATAGTCATTCATATTTGCCTTATCTATGCTATTTTGAGGACTATGTCTTGAAACTTCTTTCAGATTTTAGGAAGACATCATACTTTGTTAAGTTTTAGAATTAGTCCATACATATTTGGCACAGAGGTATATTAAATTATTCGAGGACATAAACCTAATTTTTCACAGATATCATTTTGAAAACAGGTATGAATTTTTCTCTAAATTTTGCTTAACCTTATTTATGTCATTAATTATATTACTTGATGGTATTGAATGTTATGATCACATTGCTTTCTGATCACCATTCAGAAACATGCTATTCATAATTCAGCAAATCTAAATGTATGGATAACAAATTTAATACATTTTAGTTAGCAGTTCTAGGTTTAGCATTTTACAGTACATGTGGTCTTTCAATAACATCAAACTCTAGCAAGAATATACTGATAATGTCATTATCTAGTAAGGTAGGAAAATAAAGGGTCTCCTGATGTTTTCTTTTATGATAACTAATAAAATTTAGGAAAAAAAATTAAAGTCCCGTAATTGAGGGCAGCTAACAATTCATGTATATGTCAAACTAATCAATATTGTGAACTTTGAATTCATTGTGCATATCTACCTATTAGAATTTAAGTATTTAAATTGGAATGTAATGCCAAAGAGGCACTAAGGCAACATACAGAAAAACTTATCCAACGCACCAACTGTTAATTGTTGCTGCACTAAAAGAAAAATAAGCAACTTATTCAAGGAACAAAAATAGCCCTAATGAGGCTACTTATACCTATGTTCTGGATTACAATACCCACTTTCATGCAATAAGAGTGTGAGATTTTACATTAGCCTGCCTTCTGACTTAAGGTCAAGACTTAACTATGTTCCTGGTTAATTTAAAAAAAAAAAACACCTTACAGTTTAATAAAAGCAAATTAGAAAACTAATTATCAAGACAATGGTATTACCTAGTATTTCATTTGCTCAATGGAACTCAATTTCCTTTTTCTCTCCCTTTATCTTTTAAAGCAAACATCTTTATTATATATGCTTCACGTAAAAGGTTATGCGAAACATCTGGCCAACAAACTAATTTACATAAGGTACTTCGACAAATTAAATGTATCTGTACCAAAGATATTCTAGTGTTTTTACATCTTGTCATACAACACTTATGCATACTGTGCATATTAATGCATATTATTTAACTTTGTAGACAGGAATAGAAAAGCAAATACAAAGTAGAATGCATTTTCTTGGTTCATACTGCCCTCTTTAGGTGATATTTAGGTAGTCAAAGATCATTAATTAAAAAAAATTAAAACCTTTGTTAGCTTGCCGTTAGTTTTCAAAATTTGGCAACGGAACTTTTTTGTTTTTTCATTTCAAAGCTCCCCAAAGCAGATGTGCATCTCTAAATGATCTGATTCCTATCCATGGGCTGAATCAGAGGGCAGTGCTCACAGCCCATTACTATCAGGGTTGACAATCATTCTATAATTCAGTAGAATTTGTTTACAACGCATTTTAGAACACAAGTAGGACCATTAAAATCATCATCTGAAAATAAAACACTCAGGTCTTGTGATTTGAAAAAAACACAGCGGAAGAACGCATTCTTCACCCATAATTGCTCTGACACAAAATAAGCATCTTGTCGACTACAAGATATTGTTCATGAATAAGAATCACTTTACCTACTTTGGAGAGAATTAAGTTAAGGATGAAAACATGCCAGATACTCCATATTCATTTGAATAATGACTGCAATCTCACTTTGAAAACTGCACAATGATCTGTTGACTTTTGTTCCAGATGTGAGCATATGATATGGGCCGTTTCCCTAAATTTTTATCTCGAGGAACACTCCCACACCTCCGTCTATCTCCTTCGCCTGTAACTAACCTGCTTCTGACACGTTGAACACATCTGTGTGTCCACTACCAAGTGGGGGGGTTGAGGCCTGCGGGGATCCGGGAGCCATCTCTGAGTCACCTGCTTCCAGGACCCCATCAGTACCTTGTTCATTGCCCTCTGGAACACTGAAATCTGTGGAAGTCTCGTTGTCGTTCAGGCTACCTGAGGTACTTTGCCCTGATCCGCTCTCTTCATCACTTGTAAGCACTGCCCACGACTTGGATTCTGGACTGAAAGGGCGAGGGGCGCTACCAGTCTGAATGCCCTCTCCCTCTTGGGCATCATCACTGTGCTTTGGTGGCAGCCCACGGGTTGGCGGTGCTTTGTCAGGACTGTGGTCCATATCTGTCTGACTGTCTGAGGCTACGCCTGGGACTTGATTCTCTTCTTCAGAAATCCCAGATAGTGAATGTGAGACTGGGTTCACCTGATCCCCAAGACCATTGGCCTGGGCGTCTGAATCATTAATGACCTTTTCACGAGAGGTTCGATAGGATGAGCATGACATACACTTATTTACGGTTACATCATCACTATCTCTGTCGTCGTCGTCATCATCATCATCATCATCCACATCACCATCATCACCCTCACTTACTAACTCAGCATCGGAAGTGGCACCGGGAGTCGGTTCTGAAGAAGCTGCTTTAGAAGGAAGCGGCCCTTTGGCTGTGATCAAGTACCCATCTCGGTTAGGAGAAGTGGAAACATGCACCTCTCCTAAAGAAACAGAATGCTTGGCAGCTTCGGGGGTGCCCGAAATATCGGGTGGAGCACCAGCGAATACCTCATTGGGAGGAGAGCTTTTGGTGGGGGTGAGAACTCCATCAGAGTCTAGGAGTGTATTTGTACGTGTTTGCGGTAAAACACTGGACGATGGTAAAAGGGGAGTAGCCAAGGCATGCCTTGCTTGTCCAGGGAAGGCATGGCCAGTCTGGACACGGGCAGTCTGCAACAACACCTCGTTCTCGTCCGGTGGAGGTACCACTTGCTGGGGGCTTTCGCTGGGAAGCAAACTTGGTTTAACATAGTTCTTACTGGCATAAGAAATGGCTACTCCTTCAAGCGAAGCCGCCTGCACCCCAGAAGTTGGTGAGACATCCTCTATACCTGGCTCAGATGGAGGGAGCAGCATGGTTTTACTCACAGCAGAATCTGATGCCAGGGGATGCGGCATCGTAGCATGAACGCTTTCAACCTGTGGGCTTCCAGACTCTATGGAATCACTCGGCCCAGCTGGAAGAGCGGTTTTAAGCAAGCTGTCGACATCAGAAGCCGGAAAGGGGGCTTGCTGCAGCCTTTCAGTAGGCAAAGCAGCTGAGGAGTCATAAAGTGCGAGCTGAGTGGAAGGAGACAATATTTCACTAGAAGGAGGGTCAGAGGGCGCTGGCTCGGAGGGGACACTAAGCACAAGTTTAAGCAAAGTGTCCCCAATGGCTTGAGGCACAGCGGGTGTGGGTTGCATGGCAAAGTTATGTTCGGGAACTTGACTAAGCTTATGCTCAACACTCTTAGTGGTGGTAAAGGCTAGAGCCTCCGGCAGCATGCCCCTGGTGCTAGAACTGAGAGTGGGGGGTTCTTCTAAAGACTCATTCCAGCTGTCTACATGGCCATCTGGGTCAGGCCCGACTGTGCTTTCAGATTGGTCCGCTCTCTCACTGAAAGAAGAGGTTGGCAGTTGAGTGTCATTCCCATAGGCTAGGCCACTTTTCGGAAGCAGTTTCTGATCCTCTCCAAACACAGATGTTACGTTTGTCAAGTCGGCTACAGGATCGGGCGATGACATGTTAAGGATGGTCAGACCCTCTGATTCAGGCACCAGAAATTCACTACCCGAGAAGGCTCCGGACCACTCGGCATCATCAGAGAGGGCATGTGTAGGCTGCAGCCGCACCGTAGTTGGGGCTATTAAGGAAGACTCAGACACCAGCCCATAGCCAGGGCTGTGAACTAAGGAACTCGGATGAGATACAGCAATGGAATCATGCCCAGGTGTTGCAGAACTGTGAGCAACGGTGGAGACGTGCTGGGAGCCCCCGTCACCGGGTAAGGCAGGAGGGGACAGTTCAGGCCCTGGAGAACGTGCATGCACCAGGACCTCAGCGCTGTCTGGTTCCACTTGAGAAAGCACGAGCATGTTATAGAGGACACCAGCTTCACTACCAACTTCCAACGTGTCTGAAGCAGCATGAGCGGTGGTTTGATGGGCCACCACATTAGGATATTGAGCAAGGCTGGGTTCTAATGACAAATCTACCCCCGCCACCGGCACAGATGCATGCGGGGACACTTTATCACGCTCAAGAGCGGAAGTACCTTGCGGCAGGACTGGAGAAGCTGTGTACAGATGGTGGGACCACTCACTACTGAAGGAAGCAGAGGAAAACGGAAGCAAAGGCACACCATCATAGGAGGACAGGATGGAGTCAAACGGCACACCAACACTGGGAAATGCAGGCGTAGCATGCAAGGCCGAATCACTACTCGAAGCAGCAAGGGTAGTGTTGAGGATCTGATCGTCAAGCAACAGAGGGGTGACTAGAGGGAAGACGTCACTACTGGAGGAAGGCTGAAGAGGTGTCTCACCATTATAGACTGGCTGAGTTGTCTGCGGGAGAACCACGTTGACAGTGGGGATCGAATCGTGTTGTCCAGAGGAAGGGGTAAAAGCATGAGGTGTGACTTCAGTCGGGAAGTAGGGCAAGGTAGAATGAGGTGGCATTTCCATACCTGGGATGGAGGGAGCCTGTGACCCCAGTGGGTCCAGAGTAAAGGACTGAGTTGTCTTTCCAGATTCATCAAGGTGCATGCCAGTGTAATTCACCTGGAGAACCTGCTCTCTACCGGAGCCGACATCAGGCTCTGTGGGAGTATCGGTAGTGCTAGGGAACCACGTGTTTTCATCGATGGAAGGGTCTTTTGACGATTCTCCCAAACCAGATGAGGCGGAATCTTCTGACGCATTTCTCATAGTTTCTGGAATAAGGACATCATTTGTGATTGCCTCTGGATTTTCTGAAGAAAATATGTACCCATGAAACAGGTTCTCAGAGCTGAATGGCATGGCAGACGTGGTTGGACTGGCGCCAGAGGAATCATCAGGTCCCATCTCAAGCTTGAAACTGGGAGATAGACTCTCTTCTTCAGTGATATCAGTAGATACCTCCGGTGATTCCGTGTTCAAAGATTCCACAGTCAAGTTCACCTGTGGAAATGGCCTTAGAGGCACAGTCTGAGGAGTCAAGGAAGCATCTTTTTCTGGAAAAAATTCAGTTACTGCCTGGGAAGTAGAACTTAACGATGTGTTGGGAACGTCACCCTTTCCAGCATGTTCACTTCCTCTTGTCGGGGATCGGTTCATGTCAGCCTCATGGTATTTAGTCCCTATGCGACTGTAGTTTGTTGTGGTAGGAAGCTGAGGATCCTTTGTCCTTATTTGGTTTGTGGCACTGTCTCTACCAGGATTCATAATTGCATCTTCTTCAATCTCTTTTCTCTCCTTTGAAAAGCAAACAAAATTTAGTGAAATTAAGGAAAGAAGAGAAAGACTTACTAAATCTTAGCAGTAATATCGAGTATTACATTATATTCTTAATTTTCACTTCCGTTGTTATGGGAGCTTTTCTGTGCTCATAAACCACGATGCTACAGATATTATCCCTCTAACCTATAACCTTTACCATTCACTTTCTAGAGAGAATAATTGCATTTAATGAAAACATCTTATTTATGGTGGTCTGTATTTTAATGCTATGGAAGAAGCAATTAAATTAATAGGTTTATAAGGAAGACATATTATAGCTTATTTACATATTGAGCGTCTAATTTAAAATGCAATTTAGTTTGTCGCTATGCTTCTTTGTTTAGTTCATCTAGCAATAAGCTAAATAGCAAATTAGCTTCTTGTAATATGAAATGACAATGTAACTATTTATTTCAAAGCCCAAACTAGTCACACACTCAAACTATCTAATTATGTATACTCAGAATAAACCACAACGCTTAAGGTATTCTGAGGCAAACCTGACTTAGGCAGACAGACGCTTGAAAGACAAGTTGTCAAAATATGATTCTACTGCTATTTATTTTATGACCTATTTTGGCAACCTGTCCAAGATATGTTGTCAGGAGAGACCAGTCCCTGGAAAAGGACATCATGCTTAGTAAAGTGGAGGGACAGCCAAAAAGTGGAAGGCTCTTGACAAGATGGGTCGGCACGATGGCTACAACATTGAGCTTGGGCATAGCAACAGTTATTAGTATGGTGTGGTTTTGTTCTGTTTCACATAGGGCTGCTATGAGTTGGAGCTGACTTGATGGCATTGAACAATACCTATTTAATTTTACCTTTCTTACAGAAACACCACTCCTGAACAATTTGCTTAAATTACAAGCAGTCGTGGTATTGAAAATGTTCAGTATCCAGCACTAGCTAATGGGTTGATGGTTTGAACTCAGTGGCTCTCTGGGAGAAACACCTGGTGATCAACTTCTGTCAAGGTCCAACCTGTAAAAACCCTATGGGGAATTTCTAGTCTGTCACATGGGGTGTCTATGAGTCAAAATTGACTTGGAGGCACCTAACAACTTAAACTAAAATAGGCGTTAATCGATTAGTCACTGTCATGGCCTAGGAGTGTCCTTGCTACCGGTTGGGCAAAGCCCATGTTTTATGTGTCTTGGAAAAAACGGGACACATTATAATGCATCTAATTGTATGTTTAAGAAACCAAATTCCTAAAAATATCAAAATATGTTTTCATGTATGATTTTTTTCAGGATCCTCTTACTCACTGTCACTGAGTCAACTCTGACTCCTAGTGACCAGGATTCTGAGGTTGACACTCTTTATGGAGTAGAAAGCCTCATCTTTCTCCCTCAGAGCGGTTGGTGGTTTCAAACTACTGACCTATGGTCAGCAGCCCAATAAGTAACAACTATGCCACCAGGATTCCTGTTCCGGATGCTGGTACCCAACAGTTTATAGCATTGTCATCTATTAGATCCATTTCTTTAGGCTATGGGTCTTAGCAGAAGAAACAAGTGCTAAGAACAGATTACCAAACGAAAGCACAAGCCACATCCATCAACCCAATTATGACTCATAATTATCCTGTATAGGGTTTCCACGGCTGTACACCTTGACAAGAGTAGACAGTAGACAGTCTCATGTTTTGTCCCACAAAGCAGATGGTGGGTTTAAATTGTCAACGTTGCAGTTAACAAGCCAATGTTTATTGAATGGCACCCCCAAGGATCCTTTAGCTATACATTAGTCATGGCACCCCCAAGGGTCCTATAACTCTAGATTAATCAATGAGACTTTGGCCAATATCAATAGAAATAATCTAATTCTTAAACAATGTATGCTCAAGAACAGTCAAAATGGCTCTTCAGCAGTGGTTTGTATTTTTTCCTGCAATTTTGCTTATCATCTTATTTGCCAAGACTACCAGAGAGATTTTTACAAATAATTTCTTGAATAACAATATTTACCATAAACTAAGAAAGTAAGAATAATTTACCCTGTGTGAAAAAATATTTTTGGTGCCTAGACATCTCATCTTTTCTTAGAAGTTCTTATAAACATTTGCTTTAAAATCTTTTAAGAAGTTTGCTTTGGATCAATGTTAACTTAGCACAGTGGAGTAATTGACCTCTTGGTCATTTCTGAACATCTGGGTATATGTCTGGTTTTCCGGTGTGAATTTACACCATTTCTAATTTTTTTCTGTCCTTTTTCACATCTCCATCTTTTCATATTATTTCCTCATTATCAAAGATAGCCTTCTTCTTTCCTAACAAACCAGAAGCTATCAAATAAAACCACACTTTTGCCTTAATGAAATCAAACTCCACTCTTGACCCTTTTGTCTTGTACCTGAAGGGTGTTTCCCATCCTTCCAAGGCTGTTTACAGCTCTGTGTTAAATCTATTCCACATCAATCTTCTTGGGAACTGAGCACAGTGGAGTTATTGTCATCTCTTTTGTGGTTTTATTTTATTGACTTATTTATTCATAGAAATTTACTCTGTGTTGCAACAGATACATTCAGCATTATTTGAAAGGGGAAATCAACTCAAAGCAGGTGCCATTAATGGACTAACTTTCCTGAGTTTCAACTACAATGAAAATCTTGAAAAAACCGGAACCCCTGCCTGTCAGCTACTGTGCAAACATCGCCCCCAAGGCCTTTGTGTTTTTAATGTTGTTCTCTCCACTAGATCATTCTTCTAAGTTTAAATGGATTCATGCCTCTCTTATTTAAGAAGGACATAAAGAAAAACCTGCAATTCAACTTTTGCTTTCTTTACTCACTGCTATTGCGTTTATTCCAACTCATAGTTACCCTATAGGCCAGGCCCTTGTGGGTTTCCAAGACTGTAGTTCTTTATGAAAGTAGAAAGCCTCATCTTTCTCCCTTGGAGCAGCTGGTAGTTTTGAACTGCTGACCTTGTGGTTAATAACCCAAGGTATAACCACGATGCCATTAGCACTCCTTAACTCAACTTTGAACTGTTATGAAAACCCTCTCCTCCTTTTCACTGCTAAAGTTCCTAAAAGATATGTGATATTTCTTTCTCTTTGATTTTTTTCCCAATTGAATCCCACAGTAATATTACTTATCTTCATCTTTGCTTTTATTTCCAGACATACTCCAATAACAAGGTGTGAAGATTTCTATAAATTTTTTTCTTTATATATAATGCTACTCACCTCTTCTTCTTTTAGGCATAAAACATGTCTTTCTGCTTCCTTTTGTTCTAGACCATTCTAAACTTTGTCAAGTCCAGATAACTCTCAAAATCTGATTAAGGTAATGGATCAACTTCCCAGACAAAGAGCTCATTCATACATAGATATAACATACAATATTAAGGAATTCATGAAGTCTAAATTAAGAAGCATTCCAATAATTAATCCTATCTCATACCTTTAGTCTCCAGATCTGTGAAATAAAAAATTAATGTGCATAAAACCACTCATGTGTGGTACTTTCTTACGACGCAACTATGTAACTAAAATAGAATTTGGTACCAGAGAGTAGGGGAGCTATTAACAAATACCTAAAATGTGGATGTGGTTTTGGAATTAGGTTTTGAATAGAGGATGTGCTTGTACTTAATAGTCAGTACCTACATTGCCTTGAAGAGACTGTTGGTCAATTTATGGGCATATAGGGATCATTCAAATGAGGCTTCAGAAAGAGAAGAGTAACCCCATGGAGAAAATTTATATCGCCATGAATGTAAAGTTTTTAGAAATGCAGGCACTAAGTGTATTTCTGGTGAGGCTCAGCATATACTTAGGAAATGATGACGATTCTACCTAACACACGAGAGAAGACAATCCTTGTAGCAAAGAACTTGTGTGAATTATGTTTAGTTGATATGGGTTATACAGAACTTGGAAGTGATGAACTTGGATAGTTGGCTAAAGTGACTTCTAAGCAAGATCTTAAAGGGTGTCAGGGTTTCTTCTTGCTGCTTAAAATAAAATGCAAAGAGAAAAGATAATTTGTGAAATTAACAGCACATTTGAGGTTAGAAGGTAATTCATATAAGATAGTGTTGTTTTAAAAGTTAAGATGTTCAAATGAGTACATATTCTTTAAATTTTTATTTTCTTGGAGGGCATTGTGCTAGGAACAGACATTTATGATAAGGATGGAAACATCTAAATATAAATAAGCAATTTATACATATAAAAATATATAACATATTTTGTTTCATATTAATTATCAATATACAGACTTAATGAAATCAAATAAATGATTATTATTTACAGATAGACCAGCAATAAAAATTCATCAAATACAATTTTAATTATATAGAAACATGTAAATATTCAAAATATTCTAATTTAAGTTCATTAAAAAATACTGAATTATTTTAAATGAAGTTTATTGAAAAATATTGAAAAATTCTAATAGCTAAAACTCATAGCCACAATTACTTTAAAAGTTCATTGTTTTATTCACTAAACTTTTTCTCTCCTTTTATTTTGTGTTCTATTAAACACAGTGCTTCCTACTTTTCCATAAAATCATGTACAAAAATCCCACAACAATCGGCAAAGCTCAGCAACCCACTCTACAGACACAATGCAACAGCATCTAAATCCAAAACAATTATTCAAAATACATTTTTAATCTTTAAAATTAGATTTAAAAAACGGCTATGATACCTTGATTATTTCTTCAGTTCCAATTAACTCAGGAAAGGGATCAAGTTCTACAAAATTAAAAACAAAATGATTAAATTTTCAATTCAATATTTCAGTTTATGGATTTACCTTCAGATGAAAGGGGGAGAAAGAAAATAAAAATCATTAGTTTTGTAATGCCATATCTCAAAATGAAATATTCCAATTTTCATTTCCACACTCCTAAACTCTCCATGACACCACAACACAGCTGCTTGTAACCGAATTGAAAACTTTGGTCTTTCTGAACCTCTTTCCCACTCCCACCCAAAGTCTGACTGCTATGAAGAAGGGAGAAGTGGGCATTGAGACTGCCTGTTAGTAACTGCGTGTGAAGAAGCCCCAGTAACTTTTCAACAGTGCACAGTTCCTTTTACTTTAAACAGGGATGAAGAAAAGAGCGAAGTTGTGGAAATGTCAGAGATCTTTTTCTGGAGACTTGGGGCTCCAATTTCTTCCTTAAGTTTCTCTGCACTCTCCTGGTTTGGGCTCATATCTATTTGTAATATAGGGTGCTGCAGTGGGTTAAATGGAGAGTGGTTGACTCCCTCCCACCAGATCCCAGTCTGGGTGGCAGTGGGAAGGACTGAGCAGAGTGATTCCCATTCATTCTCCCAGTAGAACTGAGGTCCTGGTTCTACGCCAAGAATAGGATGGCCAGGATCAATCGAGTCTGTTGTACTTAACAAACCAGAATCAACATAAACCTAGACGTAGATACCATTTCCCCGAAAGTAAGACATCCCCCGAAAATAAGACCTACTTACAGTTTTGCCTCTCGCTGAAATATAAGGCATCCCCCTGAAAATAAGACCACCCGAAAATAAGGCCTCCCGAAGCTACTGTAACTATGGACTCTGGACCTTAGTGGCAGGCGCTGCTGCGCAGCTCACTATTGGCCGCAGCGCAGCCGGAGCAGACAGGAAGTGTGAGGTCTCTTTTAATAAAATAATAAACAATAAATGTGTACCGTATCTTCTTCATGGAAAAATAAGACATCCCCTAAAAATAAGACCTAGTACGTCTTTGGGAGCAAAAATTAATATAAGACACTGTCTTTTTTCGGGGAAACAGGGTAGCTCATTCCTAAACAGGGTTTGCTACGAAATGTTAGAGAAGACTAAGACCTGGTTGCCTCTTTCCGACAAGGGATCTAGCCGCACTATCAAATTACTGAGGGGCTAGGGGAAGTTTTTTCCTGGGTCTTGGTTTGACCTGACTAGCTCATTGGGAAGATGTGCACAAGGTAACAATGAGGATGTGCACATTATAATGATCCTGTTACTCCTACACCTTTACAGAATCTTCCTTCATCTGCAAAGTCCGTGTGCTTCACTATCCCAGGGATACTTGTCTTCTACGTTGTCCTTTTACATGTGCACAAATCTCTAAAATTGTCAAAGGAATAACAGAACTAGCGTTAAAGGTTTGTCGAGTTGTTTTGCAATACAGGCAGCTTACTTGAGTTAATTCTTATCAGGAAACTTTTAGGAATTAAAAAAGGTAAAGGAGTCTGCATGGGGTAGTGGGTTATACTGCTAACTTCAGAGTTGGACTGCTAACTTCAGAGTCAACAGTTCAAAACCACCAGGCACTCCATGGGAGAAAGATGAGGCTTTCTAACAAGTTACAGTCTCAGAAATTCAAAGGGGCAGTTCTACTCTGTCTTACAGGGTCACTATGAGTCAGAATCAATCCAACGACAGTGAGGAAGAATTAAAGACCTCACAGTGTAAGCAACATGCATGGATCCAATTTAGAATAGAATTCAAACAGGATTTATAAGGCCACCCAGTCCTGGGGGGGTTATATAAAATTCCCATTCCTCACTACTAGGTTGTTTCAATATTATTTATCTGTACAAATTTTTTTCACTGTTCTAAAAACTATAATATTAACTAGCAATAATCAGTCTCAAATTTTAAGTCCTATTAATGAAAACAAAACAAAACCAAACTAAACAGGAAAGTGTCTGGGCTTTTTATTTCAATAATTAGTTGCTACTTTTTCTATTATTGCCTCTTGGCTTTTTATCTGTTTCTATATTAAAGTCATTTCAGTATCTTAATCCCCTGGAACCTTCAAGGAAATCAAAACAGGTGAATTTTAAAATGAGATGTCTCAATAAACTGTGACAAATAAGAACCTTTCATAAGATATTCTCTATATCACAATTTCAGAGGTTCAAGTATGTGAAATTATCTCAGTTCAGCATCTGAGACAATAGCTAGCTTTGGTGGAAATGCTTTAAATTGATCAATGTCTTAAAATTAAATCAAACTCACTACCATTGAGTGGAGGCTGACTCAGAGCAACCTCATACAACAGGGTAGAATTGTCCCTCAGAGTTTCTAAGATGGTAACTTTTCACGGGAGTATAAAGTCTCAGCTTTCCCCTGCAGAGCAGCTGGTGATTTTGAACTGCCAACCTTGCACTTAAGGAGCCCAATATGTAATTAACATGCCACCAGGGCTCCTATTCAATGTCTTTCACATTAAAAAAAAATACTTTAATGCTTTCTTCACTGCCACCAAGTCGATTTTGACCCTTAGCGACTGTATATGACAACATAGGACTACCTCAGTGGGTTGCTCACTGAGTAATTCTTTAAGACTCCTCTTTCTCCCTCAGAGAGACTGGTCATTTTGAATATCAGACCTTGATGTTAGTAGCCCGATTTGTAACCCATTATGCCACCGGGGCTCCTACTTTAATGCTAGTATTAAAAATTCTATGAGTAGTAAATCACAATCAAACATTTAGTAGTAGCCAGGCATCTGTCATACTGTAATTTTCAGTTAAAGAGGCTACGGGGTGGGTCGTGGGGTAGGGGAAGAAACCCTAACATGAATAGCTCATTCTTTGCAACTGATTTTGGGAAGAGTTGCACCAAAAAAAAAAAAAAAAAAAAAGCCATCGCCTAACTTTGACTATACTTTCAATGGGCAAACGGAATTTTCTTATTTAATGGCCATCTGCATGGGACATACATAACTATCACACGGAAGGCTGATTTCCTTTCCTTTCAATAGTCTATGGGTACCTTGTGTTTGTTTTTTCCCCCCACCCTCTTAACATGAGAGAAGAGAGCCCCAGTGTCTCAGCGAATCACATGTTGGGCCGCTCACCACACGATCAGTAGTTCTACACCACCTGCACCCCTCAGAACAGGGAGGCTTTTTACTGCTGTAAAGATGTACTCGTAGCGACCCTATAGGACAGGGTAGAATTTCCCCTGTGAGTTTCTGAGACTGTAACTCTTTATGGGAGTAAAAGTCCTGTCTTTCTCCTGAGAAGCCCCCGGTGGTTTCAAACTGCGGATATTCGGCTAGCAGTACAGCACTATCAATACATCACCGAGGCAGAAACCCACAGGGGCAGGTCTACCCCATATTATCGGGTCATTATGAGTCTGAATGACTGGATGGCAGTGAGTTGGCAGAACAGAAACTGATGATATGGATCATGGTTTCTGTTAAAATATACACTATTAGCTCATCATACTCCAAAAGTACACTGATACTTCTACTGTAACTGGCTTGCTCTTTCCTGTGGTCAGCCTGAGGGGTAGCATGTGTGGCCTGAGTATCTTTGGAGACCATCTTTGTTTCATGAGTGGTGGATCACAAGCGGGGGCTCTCATATGGGTAACTAACAACCTATTTCGCGGATCAGCATTCTGTTTTCCTGTTGTTTTAGAGTAAGGACTCCCCGTGGTGTACTGGGTAGCGAGTTGGATGGCTAAGCTCAAGGTCAGTAGTTAAACCCACCAGCTATTCTGCTGAGACCTGCTCCTGTAACCGTTCACAGCCTAGGAAGGCCAATGGGGCAGTTCTACTCTGTCTTGCTGTGTTACTGTGAGTTGGAATCTATCAATGGCAGGAGTTTGCTTGTTTGGATTGCTCTCAGATACTTTTCAATGAGTAGGCTTTGCGGTTTTCCTAGGACATATCAGTACCTCCTCATCAAAACATTCTAGAAATCTGTTACTGAGTCTTCTCCAGAATGGTTTTGAAATGAAATAGCTTTTGGATGGGCTGTCTATCTTTCTGGAGATTCTGAAGTTAGACTGCTTGTTGTGGAAATCCAGATCGCTAGCATCCATGGTCTGGTTGTATCACTAGACCCGCCTCATTTTGTAGCCTCATTCAGCCAGCTACCATTTGGTTGACTCCGAAGTTGTGGTGTTTAAGCATCTACTGGTCTGACTGGAGCTCAACTGCTATATTCGTTCTGTTTTTTTAATGATACACATTTATAGAATCTTTTCATTTCATTAAAACAGACTCCATGAGGGCTACAAAACACTCTTCCCTCATAGTAAACAATGTCAATATTTGTTTTAAAAAATGTGTGTGAATCCTTAAAATTCACATTGGTATGGGAACAGAACAAAGGCTCATTCTGGTTTCATTTGGAGGCAGATGTCATGCTAAATATTCTAAAATAACATGTTAGTAAAATCATTAATACTCCGTTACACAAAAAAGAAACACTGATGAAGGTTGGCTAGCAAGGCTTATTTAATGGTTTGAAGTGAAGCTGAGTTTCACAGTGCACAAAGTAAAAGCCATGCAGACACTTAGCACCTCACACTGCGATCTTAAATAGGATCACACAGGCACACCGCGAGCATAGGATGGCGCAGGAGCGGCGCGTCATGATCGAATAAAGACAACTGTTACATAAGTGGAAAACACACACTAGTGGGCACATGGGGGGACCTAATTCCCCATGCACTTCATTCTCAAGGCCCTGACCATCTTCTTGAATAATGCCCTCTGCCACTGCTCAATGGTTATCTCTCCATGGCAGAAGAGAAATGAACACAATTATCTTCATTTCAACGAAGTATATTTATAAACCCCTCATTATAAATATACGTTTCTACACACTCTTTGAAAAGAATATACATTTTAACAAGAGTATTTGATGATTTTGAATATAAAATATGATTTCAGAATATAAAATTTTGCATTTATCTTAAAATACTATTTTAAAATCATACCTCCTAGGCATCAGTTGATCATGATGTACATAACATTAGAACTGACAAAGCAATAAATTAACCAAATTAGTCAGAGTTAAACACAAAATTTAGAAGAGTGAGCCTTTCGTCACTGATTTTGATGAGAATGTTTGAGTTCTATGATGGAAACGAGGGGGCCATACATAAATGACCTCCTTCATCTTTAAAAAAACAAAAGCAATAAACAATACAACATTTAGAAAACAACTCACACTAAACAATAACAAAATAATCAAAGGAGGTATACTACAAAGTTACTAAGGTAATGGAACAATATGATAAACAGGATAAAATGGTGTTAGTAATAAAAATCATTAAATTAGCAGCAAGCTCAAAGTGATTTACATCTCTATTAGCAACATATAAAATTCAAAAACCTTATTGATACCATCACTCCAAACCACAAATAACACTATTGCTAAGACTTTTTACAGTGGTATATGCAGGATCTTCAAAATGAGTGTAGAAGAATGGAATGAAAAGACAATGGAATCTTTCCAAGAATCGTTTCAACCCCCTTGGTGTTTACCACGGTAGCAATATTTAAGATAATGCAACTTCAATACTGGGCTGCAAACAAACACTTGGATTCAAATGCTACTGCAGGTGGGAAGACCAGAAAAGGCTAATTTCTAAAGCACCTAATACTTTCTGTGTGAAGAACAGAAGATCACAAATCTTAGGGATAAGTTGGCTTTTGATGAAAGAAATTTTGATAGAAATAATTAGGAATAATATACCTAAAGTCATTTTTTAAAAAAATTCTTGGATTTTAAGAGGCATAGAATATCAAACTATTAGATGTTTTCTGAGGGGGATCACTGCAGTACAAAATGCTTTAAGGAACTCAGACATTGTGCAGACTACATGATGTGTCCAAGCTAGTGTCTGAGGTATTAGAATGCTCAGCAGTGTCCCGATCCTTTGAATCAATAATAGAAATTAAGTTATAGTGTTATTTTGAATAAATGTGAAAATACTACAAATGATACCAAAAATCTTGGGCTTTTTTGCCAAGACAGACTCAGTCTAACGGGATCATCCAGAAATCACACCTGTAGAAAATAGATATTTGATCCCATTTTCCATATGCAATAAATCTCCCCCCAAAGGACAAAACAAATTTCAAATTATGGCAAGATTCTCAAGAGCATTAAAAAAAGGGGTGAAAGTTATTCATTTTTGAAAATTCTTAGAAAATGGTTTTATATTAGATTAAATTAGAAGGGTATACATAAATCTAAAAGAGTTAAGTTTAAGAAATATGTTCAATGCATTTCCTTAAACACACATAGGGTAGAGGGTAGTTTTTACATGCCACAGCTTAATCAAATCACATATGCTATTAGCCAACGCGACCAACGGTGACCACTACAGATGTATGTCGTTTTCATGGCGGGTCGAGATGAGGAATGTAAGTGGGGTGACGGACACATATTTTCACAACGGACACCTCGTGTTCTGACAAATACGTCCTCCAAAAGTTCTACTAGTAAGATCAACGATGGCGATTTGATCAATAAACATTTAAGGTTATGGATGGAAGACCCTGCTAAGGACCATTGAGACCAGAACGGCACACCAGTGCACATCACCTTTTCTTCCATACACAAAACTTTAATACACTGTAACTAAGAGTACTTATAGGCATTCAATTGCCCAAAGTCTTGCAACATCTCAAAGAGTGGTGGCAGGATGGGGATAACCAGGTAATGTTTATTACAGTTACCTATGTATGCTTGTCTGTGTGAACACACATACGTGAGTAAGTAAAAAACATTGCTCCCAGAGTGTCAGTACATACATGAGTGGATTGATTCAAAACAAAATGTGTTCAAGCATGTCCCAGTGATCAGGGGATGCCTGAAAATTCCCTGGTGACACAATGGTTTCAGTATTATGCTCGTGCCTTCAAAGAAGATTCAGTCAAAATAGTTCCTTCTGAGGGGTCTGCCACGGCCAATTAAATCCAGGCAGAGAGGATGGCTCAGAAGGTTAAAGTGACAGCTTTCCCCCCTTTATCTCAAAAGGATAATCTTGATAGATGTCCACCACCACCACCCCGCTCACCCCCAAAGGCTCCAAGGGAGAAGTTATTATGGAGACATTTTAAGAAACTTTGTCGGCAAATTTGCATAAGTGAGAAAAACAAAGTCAAGAAAATTGTGCTGAAGAAGTTTTTACATCACGAGGCACCTGCTCCTTGTGCTAAAGCAGCAGGATCAGGCCTATGAGAATTGTGTTGGAAGTCTTCTTCTCCCTACCTGACAGCCCTGCTCTTGCCCCTGTAGACATTTTTTGGTCCCCAACCATTAAAAGGAGCATGAGTTAATCCCTTGATTTTGACATAGTGTAGATCCAAGAGTGCAGAGTTTGGGGGGAACGGGCCAGAAAGCAGTGTGTGAACCTGGATGGAGCATACGGGGGAAACACAATCGCCTTACATGTTGACATCTTTGTTTAAGAAAGGTTTCTGGGACGTTTCAGATCAAAATACCTTTTGATTGACTCTCGTATATGCAGCTAGAGGCCCATAATTCCACCCCATTACTTTAAAAATGTGCATATCAGGGAAAGAAAGAGAACCCCAAATTCAATTACTTATGACGGTCAGTATTTTACTTTCTTATCAAACATGAGGGAGTTCAGTTATTGCATATGTTTTGCGATCAAAAGATGCCCCCATAAAACTTAGAGAAGATGCATGCAAATATAATACAATTAGAACAACTTGTGTGTGTTTGGGTGTGTTGGAACACGATTGACAAATGAAGTGTGAGGAAAGCCCCACAAGATCGAGAGAGTGGCCAGAGGTATTTCCGATAAGTTGATTTGCTTTGTGTAGATATTTCAGAGCACCTCACGCGCTATTCAGGCCATGCATATACTTACTACAAAATGCTTTGGGGGCTGAAATGAAATCACAGAAATGAAACCATAATTATTTAAAGTAAAAGTTTCAATACTCACATAGCAGTTTGCATTGGATGGCCATTGCAACCATTATACATGGTTTTGCTGTTCTTAGATGCACATAAAAATCTTCAATATTAAGCATCAATTTACTTATTGTCCTGTGCCAGATTGGCTGAAGGCAAATGGGCTTTGGACTTGACAAAATTACCTACCGATCCAGACTTGAGAGAAAACCACGTTGCCTTGTGGCCACAGGAATATAATGTCAGAGAAAAAGCACAATGTATTCAGCCATCGCACCGGCCTCACTTATTTAGATAATATGAACGCTTAACAGGGGACACTTACCAAGGTCTTCCGAAGGCATATCGACAATCAGTTGGTCACTGTATTTTCCGAATAAGCCGTTACTACAAATGGCTACTATTTGTAGAACATAACTCATATTGGGCAGTAAATTATTAAGAATAGCACCCTAAAAGAAAGACATTAGTAATTATATAAGTATGCTGTCCTCATAGCGATTCTAACCTACTAGACTTTGATTCTTTAAAACAACCCCTCATTGATCAAGGGAAAAATTTTAAAATTTCATTAACGTAAGAAAATGCTGCTGCAAAGTGAAGCTGAGCTTGGGACACTAAAGGGATACTTCCAAAGCTACTGGGAGGTGGAGCTCTTTAATTTTTTAAAAACGTCTGCATAAAATTTGTTTTCATTTTTAATTAGAACTCATTCAGCTCATAAATCACTACCCACACTGAAAATTAATATTTTATACAAAATAAATTTGCTAATAAGTAGCACAATGTAAAAAATCCAATGAAAAGCCCATCTATCTCCTTTTATTGACACACACAAAAACAAGACAGTAACAGAATTAGGATTCTTGGCACGTAGTTATGCAATGAGAAATATTACAGGAGGATGCGTGAAGAAGTTCATGGGAAAATTCTATGATCTTTTAATCCATTTTCCCACGAACTCTTTGAAGCCACTTCACATAGTCGTAAAACCCACAACTTTCCCAGCTCACCTTGCTTTTTTGGTTTACTAAGACAAGTGCATAAGAGAGCTGTTCCCATGTTTATCAGCATTCGGATGAGACTAAATGAATGTAGCCTTTATGTACATGCAGGGCCCGGGGGTTCGAGAGACAGTAGCTGCCTGTCTTGTGTCCTTTCACCTGCAATGTGGAGAGCGCCACGGACTTCCGGAGCACACCCAAATGAGGCTGGTTTAACTGCGCCCCACAGTGTGGTCAGCTCTGCCCTGCTAAGGCAAAGCTTAAAGCTGAGATGCTCAGGTCACGGACGGACGTGATTTTCTTATTTGTGTTCATGTGCCTCGGGAAATCTTGTCAGAAGAATTCCCGACACCTCATCTCCAAGGTTCGGACCCAATCATGACTTGCCACTGGTTCCCTGGAAAGTGGTTGCAAAGAAAAGCACTTGGTGCGATCCCCTCCTCTGTTTGTACTAAGAGCTGTGGTGCGTAGGGGGTGGGGGGGCGTTTACAAGTTAGGCTGCTCATTACAAGGCCCGCAGCTGGAAGACATGAGCCACTTCGTGGAGAACAAGGTGGCTCTCTACTCCCATAAAGGGCTACAGTCTCGGAAATGCACAGGGCCAGTTCGAGCCTGTCCTGTAGGGTCACTTTGAGTCACAAAGACAGTGTGTTTGGGTTTTTTGAGATGGAAGTGAGACAAGGGAACGACAAACACCCGCATGGGACATGGAGAGGGTCCGCCTGTCTTGACTCTGTCCGCAGTTGTGAGATCTTAGTTAAAATACTTAACTACGGTGTGGTTGGCTGCTATGAGAGTCATTACCCAACACATGATAACATAGCACACACAATGGCACGAAATAATGCCCAGTCCTGCACTGTCCCCATGATGGGCTGTGGATTCTGCATGGCGATTGGCCCGCGGGGCATGCACGGGCTTGTTTTCCGAAGTAGGTTACTAGGCTTTTCTCCCCAACCTGTCCTGGTCTGGAGGCTCTGCGGAAACCTGCCGTCATCACAGCAACAGAGAGGCTTCTGCTGGAGGGTGGGTGGTAGCTAGCTGCACAGGCAGGGTGAGTCCTACCATTACACTAGATCAATGGCCTAGGTCCCTTGACCTGTGGAAAGGGGAGACACTGTATAATCCCCAGTTATCAAGCTTTTTCAGATGGGTCCACTCTATCATGTGTTTGGTGCTGACCAAGTTGAGGGCTGCTTAAAATCCAAAACCTAAGGAAGAACCTAATGGAATTCAAGGGGAGGTTTGACCTATAAAAACACAGCCTTGATCAAGGGTTCCTGAGGGAGGGGGACCGGGGAGGGAGGGGGAAAGAGTGAGGAGCTGATGCCAAGGGTGTACGTGGAGAGCAAATGTTTTGAGAATGATGAGGGTAACAAATGTACGAATGTGCTTTATACAATGGATGTATGTATGGTGTGATAAGAGCTGTATGAGCCCCCAATAAAATGATTAAAAAAGAAGAAAATGAAAGCTCAGCATCAATTGCCACCCCTCTGCCTGATCCCCTGCCCCGGGCCGGAGAGCCTCTTACCACGGGGCAAACCTACATCATTGTTTATTGACATCGCGCCTTGGGCATTGCCCTGCCACATTGTGTTATTGAGGCACGAAACAAGTGACTAGCTAGTTACCAGGTCTTGATAGCCATCAGTCAAAAATTCATGCTTGGTTTGGTCCTCTCCCTCCAGCTGCTGGTACAGGACGGCAAACTTCTCAATCATGGTATCGTAGACGACTCGAGGTCTCTCCCAGGTCACAAGAAGGCTGGTGTAATTCTCGGGGTCCGCCTGAACATTCTCGGGTTCTGAACTGCAAACTTCAGAGGTGGGGGTAGAGGGTGGGGATGGGGAGCAGAGTTGTTGATACCAATGTCAGCCTTCAGGATTTGAATGAACTCAATACCTTCTATGAAACATGTTGCTGTATTTTATTTCAGTAGAAGATAAAAAAGGCTACAGACCCCCTCTTTGGGACTTGTGATGCCACCCTTTCTTCTATCTGAAATGTGTCTTCCTTCTCATCTGCCCAAGACCCACCTCTCTCTCAATCCTGGCTTTGATCAAATGCTACCCCGGCCCTGTGCCAGCTCACATCGCTCCTGAAGGGCTCGGTGCCGTTGCCAATGTGCTGTTTATCACTGCTAATTGCATTGATTTTATGCTCTCTTACTGTTTCCCTCCCCGGAATGAGTCTTGTCTTCTTTATTAGATTGTAAACATGAGGACCATTGCAATTCTCTTTTATATTGCTTAGAGGTCTTCAGCATATCTGGCAGAAGAATCATTTAGAAAAACTGAAAGAACAAAAGAGTGCATCCAGTTCTCATTGCTTCTCTTGCTTGGGTGGCACTCATTTCTCTCGCTTTTAGAGCTAGCAAACGTATCTCGTTTAGGATGCAAAGAATTTCATTATTTTTTAAAAGCCTGTTATCGGAAATTTTATCATCAGAGAAGCTGCAAAGTCATTTACAATTCCAAATTAGAGAAACCATTGGAGAATGATGAAAGCAATCATTTTAGTATTATTTTTTAAAGGATTATTAGTAAAAATTCCACTTTGAGGGGCACAGATGGATTAGGCAAGTAATTTAGGGAGATTAGATTTGATTGTCTACTTTGAAAAACTTAAAGTTTGGAAAAGTTGTTCACGGATTTCTTCAAGGGAATTCAATCTCCTGCTGATAATTGTGCTCAAAAGGAAGTTCTACTTTGAAAACTTCTCCTGATATTTCTAACAGACATTGAGAAGGCGGCAGGTATTTGGATGAATCGGGAAGAGAACAATCATTCCATTTTAAGATATTAGGTTAATGAAGCAAAGTAATAAGACAATGTCTTCATAAGCCAGGTAGATTTGGAAAGCAGAGGAGCCAATGATGGCTTGGTAAGCCAGGACACTTCCGGGCATGAGAACGTCGAATATGGGTGGCCAGTCATCACTGCTGCCTCTTTATTAGCCAAGATAGTTCATATTATGAACAAGGAAGGGCACCTAACACTCACCATCTGTCTTACAAATTGACACTTAAATTTCAGTACAGGATTTAGCAACATACCTTTTAGCATTTGTATGCCATGGCGGTAAGAGTATCTAATGTTTCAGAAGAAAAAGAAGAGAGGAAGGAAGGAAGGAAGGAAGGAAGGAAGGAAGGAAGGAAGGAAAGGAGGGAGGGAGGGAAGAAAGGATACTTTATGTAAGTATTCATGTGACTGTATATGAGTTAGAGGGTTAAGACTCTTCACTGTAAAAACCGTTGTGCCTTTTTGGGCTGGTGTTTACAGTGCAGTCGGGGCTGAGTGTTCCTTAGGGGGAATGAGGAGGTAATTTTTTTATTTGCATAAAAACAAATTTGGAATAAGACAAGTATTCTAGATGCTACCTTGCTACTCTATCTGGCGATACTTGCAGGAATTTCCACTAGATGGCAGGAGACGATCAAATCATTTCATAAGGGAGCTATTGGAGAAACAGGATGGCCTTCTTGCATCTACTGAGTGCCAACCTCACTTTTAAAGATAGAAACTAAGTAATATATTTGGTAGATTTTTTTGTCCTTCAGATCTGTCTCTCTCAATTTAAAAGGAACTATTTCCCTTCCCCAAGACAAATGACCTTAAAATGCATTTGAAGTTTTGTGCAGGCACAGGAAACAAGAATATCTCTTGGGAAAAAAGCAACACCAGTAGCTGAACAATGCTCAGAGACCCCGCTGCAGCTGCCTGGATTCTATGGGCTGCATTTCTGTGCACAAGCGAGGTTCCGCTTCCCGCTGACAAGTGTTGACGTTGTGACTGTGCAGCAAATGTTCCGCTGAAGCCCCACGGTTTATCTCCATAACTTCCACCCACTGAACACGCCGGAATGAACACACCGTGTGTTACAAGGACCAAAGGTCAATGCCACGAAGAAAAAAGTAAAGGAAGTAGAGGTGAGACCAATGGAACAGGAGGGAGATGAAAGAGGAGACGACGACAACTCTATCAGCCTCTCTTCTAGTCAGAAAACGTGGAGCAGACGTCAGAGCAGGAGAAAAGTCCCTTTCCACCTGTGCTCTAAGTCGCTGCTTTGAAAGAACGCTGGCCTGTCCTGAGGGAGGAAGCCCAGTGTAGCTGTATCTGTGAGACGGGGGTGAAAAGCAAACGGAGGTAACCGTGATCCTGACTAGTGGCAGAGGACATGTCACAACTACCTGAGACAACCAGGCTTTACAGTTATTTCCCATGAACTCGGAAGGTCACACACCTCAGGAGAAAAGTCTGTCAAGAAGGCACGCTGATAAATCTGCCGCACCGTTCTTTGAAGTTTATAAACCTCAGGAAAAATGTGGAAGCAGAAACCTTGGTGAGGATGATGAGAAAGGGGCACGGTCCATTTGCCACTGTGACCTATTGAGGCGCTTGCACGTCGCTGCCGAAAGGTTAGGCCACTGGATTTCAAACACCAGCAGAGTCCCTCATTCTGGAAATACTGCTGTGGTTTCCCATTAAGCCAGACTCGGTCTGGTCCTAGAATTCTAGGGAAAGCCTTACGGGGAGCAAAGGACCATTACGGCACGGAGTGCCCAAAGAAGAGCCCTTCGGGTGGAAAGGCCCTCCGATTACCACTCAGAACAGGTGCCTACTCAGAGAAGGGTCAACCTTGAAGAGGGGGAGGCAGTGAGGCCTTCAGGACCTTCCTTCGCTGCTGTGACCTGGAACAAGAGGAGAAGAAAGAGCTGCAAGCGTCTGTTGACTCATAGAACGCGGGGTGCAGGAAGGTGCATTTAGGAGCCCTGGAAGCTATCAAACATGAAACGGAAGCATAATGATTCAGGACCTAGGCGCTCGTGAACTGAAATGGGCTGGTATGACCCTTCAACATGATCATTTTGAAGAGGGCAATCGTAGGGTCTCCTGTGCTGGAAATGACAAATTGAAGAGGAAAGGTCTGGCATTCATTGTGGAAAGGATATTTTAAGAGCTATTGTTAAGTACAAGGCAGTCGGTGATAAGATTTTGTTTGTATGCCTACAAGGGAGAACAATGACACTTCCATTATTGTTGTTGGACTGAACCGTAATCACCAAAGACCAGTGAACTGTGTGAAATCATCAAGGAAACCAGACACGGAGAAAGCAAAAGGCCATCACAAAGACCAGAGCATGGACATGGGTACAGATTAGGGCTGGAAACACAGGGAATAAAGGACAGATAAACTCCTCGGGACCAATATTGAGAGTAGCCATCCCAGGAGGGGAAGGGGAAGGTGGACCTATAACAACACGTGCCCCCCGCCCCCCCAGGGCAATGGACAGCACATAAGGGGGTAAAAGGAGACATCGGACAGTGCGAGACTTGGAAAAATAATAATTTATAAATTATCAAGGGTTCATGAGGGAGGGAGGGAGAGGGTGGGGGAAAATGAGCTGATAACAGGGACTCGAGTAGTAGGAAAATATTGTGAAAACGATGATGGCAACAAATGTACGAATGTGCTTGACACAAGGGATTGTGATAAGATTTGTAGGAGCCCTCAATAAAACGATGAAAAACAAAAGACAGGAAAGGAAGGAAAGACCAACATGGATGTCTGAAGAGGCTCTGAAACGTAGACACGAAATACCTACAGCAACGGGAAGACGTGATGACGTAAACAGAGTGAACAGAAGATTTCAAAGGCCAGTCTGAGAAGACAAAGGGCACTATTATAATGAAACCTCTTAAGTCGTGGCGTTAAGAGAACCCAAAGCAAAGAACACACTCCGCAGTGGTCAGGCTGGAATAATAGGAGAAACAAATCCAAGTCAGGAGTTGCCATGTTGAAGGATTGATTCCATGGGCAAACTGGAGATCCAGCAGGAAGGACCCAAAGATGGAAGGAATGACTACCCAGAGTCACTGTCTCCCGGGACCTTGTCTGTCCTGACCTACGTGCTGCTCTGTGTCAGGAGTGACTCTGTCACTTACAACAAAAAGAATAAGAGAAAACATAAATAAAAAGATGAGAAAACAATGATGATCAACCGTCCCGGAAAACAATGGATATTGAAGTTGCAATTTCCCCTCCCCAGGAGCAAACCTTAATAAACCGAACCCAAGCCCTGTCCTAACTGTTAAGATACAATAACCAGAGGAGACCAGTAACAGGCACTTCTGAATGACTGCATTCACTGCAGAGAAACAACCAAGAGTTCTTTCAAATTCTGCCTTCTTCAGCTAGTCCTCTCAAGAGACACAGTATAATTTTGTCAACCATCAAATTTGAAAAGTCTAACCTTCTGGGAAGTAAATCACCTTCATTTCACTTTTCTTCAGCTAGTTAGAGTCAAGTGTTTATGTGCATGCCTTTAACAAATGCTATTTACAACTAATTCCCTTTAAGAAGGCAGGTCCATTCATGTACAATTAATTCAGCATGACATGCTCCAGGAAACTGCAGACAATTTCTAGCTCAGATACATGATGCTGGAAGGACACTCCCTGCGAGCTGCTCCGCCTTAAATGACATTTTATATTTTATTGTTTCTCAACATTCACATCCAATGTCTCGGTGCTGGCAAACGAGACTTAGAATGCATTTATGATAGTACTCAAGCATATTTCCAAAGGATTGAACCCGGAAAACATGCAGAGTGCTCAGCTCTTGATATGCAGGGGGCAACTCAGTAGCTATGAGTTGAAAGCACAATTTGTTCAAGGAACTCTATTATGCTATTATCTTTAGGTCACTGAAACCTCTCAACAACCTATCAAGGTAACCAGTGTTAGCTTTCTTATTTTAGGAGTGAGGCAACTAACGCTTGGATGGGGAAGTTGAGTAACTTAATGACTTTACCCA